ACACCTACAGAATAGGTTCTAAAAAAATTTTGAAACCCATCACTGCTGCAACCGTCACATATACAGAATATACGTAAGTCAGTTGTCAAGCATCTGAATTTCAATCACATGAGTATAGAGATGCTGCAATGGTTGAAAGTGAAAAATGACCATAAGCCACTTTTTTTCAGTAACTTCGAACAATCATTAAACTGTTGTACGTTGAAGACTACCTGTAAAATTGGGAAAAATGAATATTTTAAAATGACATTTTTTGAAAAAGCAATACATAGACTGTTTTTTTTTCAAAGCTACCTTCCTGCCTTCAAATTTCCACTTCTCCTAAAATTATGTTGTAGAAACCTTGTGCGCATATTACTATGAACATGGATCAATGCAGGGATTTCTTCTGAACGAATATGCATTTTAATATCTAATATTCAAAACCAAACCATAAAAGGTTCTAGGAACCAGCCAGCCAGACAGCCAGACAGCCTCTGATTCTAAGGAGTCAGGGAAAAAGACAAATTAAAGTAGGTATTTTAAACTTCTCTCTCTGAGGGAATATGTGCGGATGTCAGAGTAAGACAATTTTTGTGAATTAATGGAATCAAAGCAGGATTCAGCTCAAGAATTTGGTAAGTATCTTATAGTTCAAAGCAGAGAACAGACATTTTGCAGTCTATAGAAAGAACCGAGCAAACTTTTATCATGGCTGAGAATTTGAACTCCTGAGGAAATCGAAGAGGAACTTGTCCCATCGGTAGTCACTGAAGTAGCTTCCCATTCTTCAGATCAGATTTATTCAGAGTGGAATAAATCTCCTAGACTCAGTTGTCTAGCCAAATCTGTAAAGGATTGTGTTGCATCTTCACTTAAGATTGTGGTCTTGTTATAAAACACAAGCATCTCTAGGAATCCAGAAGCTCCAACCGTTTTTCCCCGCCAGCAGGAGTATGTTTTAATGCAAATTTCATCATAATAAGATGTTACTTAATCACTGATCCAACCATGTTAAGCATATTAATTAAAAAATAAGCACTGTGAATATTTGCTCATATTCAAGTAGCAGAAATAAAAATTGAATTTTACAGTCGATTTGTAGAGAAATTACTTAGCTATGCTTTTTTTTTTTTTTACAAATGTTGGTGCCATAGAAATAATACAGCTTTATGTTCATATATAATAAGAAAAAAAGATATGTCTTTATTTAGTCACAGTCCCTCACTATTTCTCCTAATCTCTGCTCCTTTCTTAATTCTCCTTGCAGCACATCCCTCTGTGGCCAAAGAACTGGAAAATTTGAATGCCCTACTTAGAAAGAAGCATGCAAACTCAACTCCAAACAACATTATTAGTACATGTTAATACTGTATTTTGTATTCCTCTATTAGAAACCCAGCTCATCCCAAATCTGAGTCCCCCATAAATGCAACAAGGATTCAAAACTCTCTTCCCTCAGTACACAGGAGGGTTGAGAGCTGACTGCTCCCCCCCCCCACACCTTCCTCTTTCCATGATTGCCGCTTCTTCCAACACAGATTGCAAGACAGAGTCATGCTGCTCGTGGGGCTAGTACAACTTCTCCAGCACCGCAACCCGTGTTGTCAGAATCCAGCGGCAACAAGATCTAGTGGGCTGCCTGCCCCCTTTGGCAAGCGACCCACATCCATGGCAACTCATCAGCCCCCCCCCCTGAGCCCAACTGAAGAGAAGTGGGGGACCCTCTGCCTCTGTGGCTTCGCCGATGGCATCAGTGACCATTTTGTTGCAAATAGCAATCAGGACAGCGAGAGTGTGT